TAAGGAACCTTGAGATGAAACCCCAAACATGATGATGCTTGTTCACAACCCTGTAAGAAAATTCAATGTAGAGCACCCACCTAAGCTGTGTCCAGATTTTCAGTGTATGTGCATGGTCTGTACAAGTTTCCCTAAACCAGTCCTGCTACACCTCTGAGCTTGCCCGATGCCACCTCCTTCTTACAACTGACACACAGTACAAACCTCACACAACTTCTCACCTCTGTTAACATGTAGATCTCCTATGTCTCCCCTCTGCCAGGAAGTCTTTTCCTCTGCCTCATGTACATACCACTATCACAGCTCTTCCTACGCTACAGTAACAGCACCTCTTCTAAGGTCTGTCTCCACCGTACTACACACTCCTTAAAAGCAGGGGTCACACCCCCTTCCTGTTTCTCTTTTGAGTGCCTTCCATAACTTTGACCCTATGCTGAAGCCCTGATAAGAGAGGAGTCATTCTCAAGATACTTGCGAACCCCTTCAGTTAGAGAAAAAGAACTCTGGGAGACCTGGAATGGGATCTTATTACCCTCCCCCAACACACACCCTCTTGTATAAAAACTATCTCTGTAGCCTCTTCAACAAATGGGTCTGGGAAAATATTCACATGTAGAAGAATGAGAGTTGATCCCTTTTACTCTGTATTAACATCAACACCACAGAAGACATGGGGATGTATGTCTGTAATCCTGGCATTCAAGAGGTGGAAGCAGAAGAATCAGCAATTCAAGGCTACATGAGACCTCCACCTCAAACAAATAAGCACTCTTGCCTCACAAATCAACTCCAAATGGATCAAAGAAAGTAATATAGAACCTAAAGGGGCTGGAGAGGTGGGTTCAGGTGGTTAAGAGCACTGATTGCTCTTCCAGAAGACCAAGGTTTGAAGCTCAGCACCTACATGTTAGTTCACAACCATCTGTAACTCCACTTCCAGGAGATCTGATGTCCTCTTTTGACCTATACAGGTACTGAACATATGTAATGCAGAGACATACTCATAGGATAAACAGCCATACACATAAAATAAAAAAATTTTTAATTAAAAACTCCTTGACCTGTATGTGTATGTGTGTGTATATACATATATGTATGTGTGTGTATGCTTTCAACCAGAAAAAGTAAGACAATTATATCTTTTGCTGGAAAGTAAATGGATATAAATCTTGAAATAAGCCAGACTCAAAAAGACAAGTAATCATGTTTTCTCTCACTTGTGGATACTATTTTTATAGATATGTAAAACCATATGCATATATATATACACACACATATATATGTAAAGCACAAAGGAAAGTAGGGTAATGAAGAAAAGTAGCGGGAATAGGATAAAAGATAGGATGTGGGGATCACTATCCTTAAAATGCAAGATGCACTTTAAAGTTATCTTTACGAAACTGAATGTTCAGTCCAATGACGAAACAAGAATTAAAAGAAAAATGTCTGTCAAACAGAGATTGGTGGCAACCTGGGGCCCTCAGTTCAACCCCTCTCCTGCCTCTCCGAGTAAAAGATCAGTCTCTTTTGTCATCCCAGATTTTAGAATCGTCTTCTTTCATGTTTTTCTTGGCCCATCTGATTGAACCTTTGTCAATTTTGTTGCTCCTTCCAAAGAACCACTTTTTCATCCCATTGATTTCTACTCAGCTTATTATCATGTCTTTCTTTCTTTCTTTGAGTTTAATATCTTCTTCTGTCACAATTTCTTGGGGTATAAAGCTAGGCTTAGTGATAGAACAATGCTCTTTTGTGTTATTGGTCCTTTTCACCGATGAATTTCCTTCCAAACACTCATTTAGCTGCATCCTCTAAGGTCTGGCAAGATATTTTCTGCCACATATGTTCCCTGGTTCCTTTTCCTTCACTTTATCCCAGATCTTTTTTTTTCCCAGATCTTACAATATTCTCTGCAGCATCATTTCTTGGGGCATGTTCATTTTGTACTGTATTTTGAAACTGATAAATTAAATTCCCCCCCAGAACAGTTTTCTTGTTTTTCTTCATTTCTGGGATGTCTTTGCTTTCTTTTATTACTTTCTTTACTTTTAATGTTTAGTTGCTCTATTTTTGCCCCTCTTTGAGTGCTATGATTTTTTTTTGAAATAGGATGAAGAAATAATAGTAAAGAACAAGCAGGAATTAAGAGGCAGTCAGTCACTGAAAGGAAAAAAGAGGGAGATAGAAAGTTAGGTACTTATTAGAGATGGTTTTCTCTAGCAAATAATAATTGAACACTATAAAAATGTCATTTTTAGTCCTTTCCAAGAAAGAGAAAAATAAGTAACTGTTTTAGAAATTTTCTCCATTTTTATTAAAACAAATATGACAAAACAGTATAACTGACTCTGAGAGATTGACTCACTCAGGGAAACCAGAGCAGAGGGATTTTAGTTAGATGGCTCTATAGTACCTAAATATTTACTGTGATGAAAATCTGAGTCAGTTGTTTTCCATCTGAGATTACCCATGCACATGAATAGAATAAGCCTTTTAAATCTACAGTTCAAAAGAAAAAGACAAGCTAACTTAAAAAGAAAAAAACAAAAAAACAACCTGGAAGCCAGGTTGTTGCATAACTGCAAATAACAGCACTTGAGAGGCAAAGGTTGGAGGATTAGGAGTTCAAGGTTATCCTTGGCTACACAGAAAGTTGGAGGTTAGCCTCCGTCCGATACATGAGATCCAGTCTCAAAAAATAAATAAATTAATAAATAAAACAAAACAAAACCACAGCTATTTAACTCTGAATACTCTTGGCCTTAACTCTTTCGGCCAAGGAAAACCATTGAACAGCTTCCTAAAAATTCCCAACTCAACACAGCAATGATAATTGAACACATACTAAGTCTATCAAGAGCTTTCAAAGCTGACCAACACCCTAGGATCTTCAGAAGAAAAGAAAGATTACCAGATAAGATTATTCCGTCATATTGACATGACAGAGCTCCGAAGGGAGTTTGGGGTGTATCCAGAGTGAATGTGTGAGGGTAGGTACTCACAGCTAGATCTGCCCATTCATTTAACAGGAATGGTAGTAGAGTTCCAGCATAGTCGTGGAGAATGTAGGGATTTAGTTTGCTGTTTGAAATTTTCTATAATTCTTACACATGGGGTAATACGAGCTTCCAGTTGAAGTGGGAACAGACTCTACAATTTTGGGAAAATTGTGGGGGAAAAAATGTCCCTGAAAAGGAGAAAATTCCTTCTTAGTTTGAGACATGTTAAGTAACACATTCAAAGTTTGGGGGACTGTGTCATACTATAAACAACAAAGCAGAGCAGGGTGGAAAGATGGCTCAGTGAGTAAGAATATTTGTTGTATAAGTATTATGACCTGGGTTTTAAGCCCCAGCATCCATGCAAACACTAGGCATGCTTTTAACATCAGCATTGGAAGACAGAAAAAAGATCCCAACAGCCATTTAACCCAAATGAAAGCATTGGGTTCAGTGAGAGACCCTCATCTGCAGGAAATAAAGTGGCTAGTGATAGAAGAAGATAGCTGACATCCTTTTTGGCCTCTGCATGCACGTGCATGGGTATACATACCTGCATATACTATACTTACCTATATATATACTTACATATATACTTACATATCTATATATAATACACATACCTACATATACTACACACACAAGCATACATACACATAGGACAAAGAAGAGAAGTGAATGGAGGATGTGGAGACATTTTAGTTCAAAAAGACAGGTTTGAATACTTCCTGAATCATAGCACAGAAGGATGCTAGAAGGAAGATAACTAGAGAGAGAGAGAGAGAGGAGAGAGAGGGGGGAAAGGAGGAAAGGAAGGGGGGAGAGAGACAGACAGAGACAGAAAATTCACTGGAAGAGTGGTCTGTTTGCAGTCCAGGGGGCCAAAGAGGCCAGAGCACCATATTTAAGCACCAAAGAATTACAGGAAAATATAAATAAAACAAAGAAAGAGCTGAAATTTCCAGATCAGTTAAATATGCCTGTGCTTTTAAGTTACACATCTTTAACTAATACGCACATTACCTTCACTGTTAAAACTCACCTCATATTCATGAGAGAAAGCCATTTTCTTTGAGCTCAGTTCTAATGGTATCCGAGGCCTGCTAATCTTCAGGAATGGTATCCTGTGCATGGTAGGACTGTGAGCACCATCCCTGGCTCTAAATCACTAAATGCTACGTGTGTTCCCATTCCCCAGTAATTGAAATACAAAAAAAAAAAGCCTACAGAATTTCTGAAGAATCCCCAGTCCAGGGACCAGGAGAGGAGTGGCAGAATAAGAGGATAATGTCAAAACTGTCCCTGATTAGCTATACTATTTTGAGTAATAGTTGTATCCGAGTAATAACTATTGGACATCATCAAATTCAGTGTTTTCCTGTTGATTTGTTTCGCTTGAGATAGGATCTTACCATGCAGTCACGGCTAGCCTGGACCTCACTATGTAGACCAGACTGACCTTGAACTCACAGAGATCCACCTGCTTCTGTTTCCACACCTAGGAAAACTATGTAACACTCTTTAAAAAAACTAGCATAACTTAAGTTTCTTATTTCTCTATATCTGACTCATCTTAACTAGTTAAGGCTATAATCTAGCATACACATAAATATTATTTTGCCCCGTTTCAGGTGTATTGCAATCTGGTAAGCTAAATGTGATTAATAATCTTTCTGTGTAATATGATGACTCATTTAAAGTCAGCAAGCAGAGGAAACTTTGTACATATTAAATAAATACATATAAAATAAATTTCTAGCAAAGTTAAAGTTCACACATTCTCTTCCATACTGATTATTTGTAAGCAATAAAATATGACTTATATTAGATGGAAGAAAATGGTCATAAAACATTTTTATATATTCAAAAAATAAAAACAGTGAGTTTCATGTCACCATTAATAAAGAGGTCTCTAGTACAATAGAGACCCTCTGATGTGTCATATTTTGATATAACATAGTTATTTTTATTATACAAATGAATACCAGCTCTTGCTTTTACCTGACTTATCTGTAGAATCTTCAAATTCCACAAGGAAAGAGTACCCATTATTCCAGATGTGGAGGCAGGTGGCCGGGTCATATGAGATGGTGAGTGGTTTTAAGTCAGGGTCATAAACACTGTCCCTCCATCGGATGTTGATGGGTGACTGACGATCACCCGCAGGAACAAGGTTCAAGTTCTCCCAGAGTGGCGGTACTAGGAGAGAGCAAACCCAGGCAGTTAAAAACAACCACTACCTAGCATAGCACCACACACAGGACCATCTCATTTTGGAAGAACCCAAGGAGTGCAAAGACATCTTGCAGTCTCAAAAGTCAACTATTTGGGGCCTTAATGAACTGTATAAAGCAGATTAGGGCAGGCCAGAGAGCACCTTGTGGAGGAGTCTTTGTTCTGTCATCTCATAAAACCAACCCTTCTAAGCCTGTCTGTTAATGTGATCTGAAGTCATTGCTGCCAGTTCTATGGAATCAGCAAAATACATGGAGATTAAAGTGTAGAAACAGTTTTCACAAATGGTGCTCTTTGTTTCATTGCAATGTTTTGAACACCAACCATCTAAACTGTTTTCAAATACAAAATCAAGTAAACTTTCAATAACAGACTTTATCTTAACAAAAGAACAAGAGTGAGAACTGTTGGAAAACAAACTTTAATTCAGTATTGTCAGATTTCAGTTGCTTGACTGGTACATAAAAAAAAAATAATTGTGCTACATAAGTGTGTGTGCCAGGTCACTAAACAATTGTGAGGACTAAGCAGTCACCCTCTAAGGCCTGGATAGACACCAGCATTGCTGAAGTTCCTCAAGTTCACAATTTGTCACAAGACTGAAGACATGATCTCTTAAGGTATGCAAATGCAGTTTGTCCAAAACACATACTGACTAAACGGTTTGTGCTGGTCCTTCTTCCATAGAGCGAAAACCAGGTCTTTGCAGCAATAAATATCAGCAGACTTCCTGATGACAGCACAGAGAGATCTGCTGAGCCACACAGAAATGATGAGCAGAACCCACATCTATCAGTTTTGGGTGGTCTTCCTGGTCCAACTTGATGGCAGCATGTAGAAGAATCTAAGTAGATTCTTTCTTTTTTTTTGGGGGGGGAGTGGGGCTCAAGAAAGGGTTTCACTGTGCAATAGCCCTAGCTGACCTGGAACTCACTCTGTAGACCAGGCTGGATTTGAACTCACAGAGTGCCACCACCACCTAGCACGTAAGTAGATCCATATTTATCACTGGAAAATCAAGTCCAAATGTATCGAAGACTTCAACATAAAACCAAATACACTGAACCTTATAAAAGAGAAAATGGAGAATGGCCCTGAACACATTGGCACAGGAAACAACTTCCTGAACATAACAGCAACAGCTCAGGTGTTAAAATCAACAATTAATAAATGGGACCTCATGAAACTGAAAAGCTTCTGTAAGGCAAGGACACTGTCAGCTGAACAAAGCAACAGCTTCAAGATGGAAAAAGATCTTCACCAACCCTACATTCAACAGAGTGCTAATATCCAAAATGTTTAAAGAACTCAAGATACTAAACACCAACAAACCAAACAACCCAATTAAAAATGGGATACAGAGCTAAACAGAGAATTAACAGAGGAATCTCAAATGGTGGAGAAGCACTCAAAGAAATGCTCAACGTCCTTAGTCTTCAGGGAAATGTAAATCCAAATGACTCTGAGATTCCATCTTACACTTGTTAGAATGGCTAAGATGAATAAATCAAGTGATAATTCATGCTGGCAAGGATGCAGAGCGAGGGGAACATTGTTAGTGGAAGTCAGAGTGGCAGTTCCTCAGAAAATTGGGAAGTGATCTACCTCAAGATCTGGCTAAACCCAAAGGATGCTACATCCTACCACAGAGACACTTTCTGCTCTATTCCTAATATCCAGAAACAGTAAACACCTAGATGTCACTCAACAGAAGAATGGATAAAGAAAATGGGATACATTTACACAATGGATTATTATTCATCTGTTTAAAAGAAAAAGAAATCATGAAGTAAATGGAACTAGAAAAAATTATCCTGAATGAGGCAATCAAAACACAGAAAGACAAGTATGGTATGTATTTGCTTATATGTGAATATTGGCTGTTAAGTCAATGATAAGCAGGCTACAATCCATAGAACCACATAGGTTATGGACTTAGAAGGACAAATAGATCTCCCTAGGAAAAGGTAATAGAATAGATAGTTATAAACGGAGGCTGGAACAAGAGGATTAAGTGGGGAGGAGATAGGAAAATAGGAACGAGGAAGGAAATATAGGGAGAAACAGCTAAAATTAAGGGTCATTTGTGTGGTTGTATGGAAACCTAATACAGTAGAAGCTTTTGAAATATATACATATTTGGAGGTGATCTAAATGATATCACCATAAATGGGGGAAACAGAGACCCAACTGGACATTTCTTGTCACCAAATGAAGCTTCCAGTACTGGGAATTGGTTACATAATTGAGGTGTTGGCCAAATCTTTATATATAATATATGTGTATGTGTGTGTGTATACATACACATTTTGTTTCCTTTTTTAACCTATAGGTCCTTTGAATATATATTATGGCTTAGAGTTTATTGTTTTTATGGGAATTCTGAGTGTGTGAATGGGTGGGTCTCTGAATATATATCTGTTTCTTGTGCCTTTTCTTGGACTATTTTCCTTCTGTTTGTTTGTTTTGTCCTATTCCAATGTGTTAGCTTCAACATCATATCATATCATATCATATCATATCATAATCCCTTAGAAGCCTGTTTTTTTTTTTTTTTTTGTTTTGTTTTTTTTTTCTAGCCTGATCCACATAGTGAGTTCCAGGACAGCCAGGACAATATAGAAAAACCCTCAAAAAAAAAAAAAAAAACTATCCCCGCCCCTTTCCAGCTACAACACTCAGGAGAGTGGGCCCTGTACCTCTCCTGGACAGCACAGCAGAGCTGATCCTGGTGGTGGGTGCGTGTGGGTGAGTGAGCCCACCCAGAGGACAAGAGTGTGGGAGAGCTGGCCTGCCACTGTCTGCTATGAGGTAGCACGGTGTGTGGGGGGGGTGATGAACCCACCCCTGTTGCTTCTGACCACCTGTAGCAGTGTGGTGAGCTAGTCCTGGGCTCATGAGTGCAGGTGAGATGGTCCTGTTGTTAATGCGCAGCAGCACTCAGGAGAGGTGACCCTGAACCTTCCCTGGGCAGCACAGTAGCGCTGGCTCTGGTGAAGGGGGCTCAGAAGAGCCAGCCCTGAGGGCGAGAATGCCACTAGTCTGCTGTTAGGTGGAGTGGTTGTGGGGTAGTGCCCTCCTCCCTTGTTACCTGCAATAGTTGGAAGGGATTGACCCCAGGTCATAAGAGTGGGAGACCTAGCCCTGCCTGGCTGTAGCACTCAGGAGAGCAAGAACGGTACCCTGCAGGCAAAGGCACTGATGAGCCAGCCCCCAGGGTGTAAGAGTGGGAGACCTTGTCCAGCCCCCTGCAGGCAGCAGCACTTGGGAGGATGTGTCCCCACATCTTGACTGGGCAGCACAGTGGAGTTGGTCCCGAAGGCCTGGGTGTGGGTGAGCCAGCCCTGAGAGCATGAGAGAAGGGAGAGCTGACCCTCTTATTGGCATTGGGTGGCCTAGCCAAGAGCTGTGCTGGAGAGCTCTCATCCTGGTGATGCTGATAAGGGAAAGTGTGCTAACCAGCTCAGCTACCACTTAGGCCCAGATCCAGGACTCTGATTTGGCCCACCCCAAAATCTCTATCATCTGTGAATGGTTGGGATATGTAAAAGGGCCATTCTTGCTGGCCCAAAGCTACAGGATCTCCATGACATGGGATAACTGGGAGCAGTCCCAGTGAGGATCCACTATTGATGGTGTCACAGAAACCAGAGATCTCAAACCAGACCAATGACTCATTGCAAATGGACATTTGCAAGAGAATATACTGTGTGACACACTGTGACATACTACAGTTTCCATGGTGAGGTGTGTTCCATGCTTTTGTTGTTTGTTTGCATGTGTTTCTTGGAGGGGGGGGAGGTTGAAAGAGTAAAGAGTAGATATAAGGAGACAGGGGAAGAAAGGATGAGTAGGACTGCAGTGCATGATTTAAAACTCAGAAAGAATCAATTAAAAGTTAAAAAGAAAATCCTGGTCATGATAGCACACACCTTTAATCCCAGTTCTTGCTGGAGGTAGAGGAAGTCATATTTCTGAGTTCAAGACCAGTCTAGTCTATGCAGGGAGTCCCAGGACAGCCAGGGATATATGTATTTATATGTGTACACACACACACACACACACACACACACACACACACACACACACACACACA